TTCTCTTGTCGAGCTGCCTAATCTGCACCCTCTACGTTGATTTTTTTGACGTGTTTTTGACATATATCTTAAGAACGAGTGATTTCCGGACTATCCTCCAAGATAGTTTTCTTCCCGACCCAAAATTCTGGATCGATTGATATAAAAATCTCAAAATTTTTTGAATTAGCGGACGCCCTCTTTAAATATCCTACCTTCCTCATAAGATCGTCAAATAGCATATCTCCAACATCATCAGTCAATTCTTTCTGATGTTCCTCCTTGGCTTCCCTGTCTTCTTCTGGGTCTCCTCTTCAAGAAAAAATTTAATAAAATGCTTCTTAAAACTATTCACCTGGTTCTTGTGACACATGCTGCCTTATAACTCGGACAAAACTTTCCGATCTTCTCCATTATATTCCGATGCTTATGTAGCTTCTCTGCTGTATAAATCCCACGACAATAGTAGACATAGTTCTCGTGATATACGGCACAATACTCACCAACATCAAGTGTCGACTGAAAGATAAAGTTGCATGTCGCGAAGACTCTTCTCTCATGACGCGTTGAGTCGGCGCCGCCGACCATCACTCTCTTATACTCCTAACACACAGAGGGGAAATGTCTGCTTCCGTGGCGCAATAGGCAGCGCGTTCGGCTGTTAACCGAAAGGTTGGTGGTTCGAGCCCACCCGGGAGCGAAAACTTTTTTTCACTCTTTGCTTTTGAAACTCACTGTTCGTAGCGCCGGCTCCCTCCTTGTGTGCTCAAATTCCCAAGCATATCCGAGAATGGAAAGATAAAGAGTATAGATCAGTAGACAGATTATCATTCCTATCACTTTCGAATTGGATAAGGGGGACAAGAATAGAAACCACACACACCCAAACCGTCACAGCAACGGAAGAAGAGGATGGAGAAAAAGAATGACGAAGTCGACAAATGCGACAAAAAAGGACCAAAGGGGGAGGAGATGAAATAGAGGCGAGGGATGGGTTTACCAAGAGTTGGACTCCAAATTTTGGGAAATTCTGATACCTGGAAAATTTCAGGCAACTATCTAAAAAAATTTATCTAGAAAAATTTCCACTATCAACATGTTTTTTCTCACCTCCCCGTAAAAGAGAAGAATCACGTCATTTACTCTGTCGAGAAAAAACAGGTTAACCTGTTCCAAATTTGCAACGAAAGATGTGTTTTTTTCACCACATCAAAATGTTTCTTTCTCTTTAAAATCGAAATTTGAATTCTAACTTATTTTCTGAAAAATGAGCACGAGATTGAGAACAAAATTGGAACCAAATGATATTATCAAGAGATCGAAAACTGATTTTAAGTGAGATTTTTAAACTTCAAACTTTGATCTAATTTTTCTTGTTTTCTGTGAAAGATATGAAAAAGTTGTCAACAGATAAAATTTTTATCATAATATCACCATTGTTTTATCAGTTGACGCATTTTTTATGTCTTTCACAGAAATCGATATAATTGAGCTCAAACATGGCAGGGTGGGTGCCCTTATATTACGTTTTTTTCTTTTTTATTCCAGTTGGAAAGTTATCGTACAACTCGGAGTTGGTGGTTTTGGTACGGTCAACAAAGTAATCCAGATCAATGAGGCAGGAGTTCCGATTAATGATAAGGTTCGGGTTTGGAGGGAAATTCAGAAATTAGAAAATTCAAAATTTCAGGAATTCGCCATGAAGACCGAGTTGAAATGTGCCAAAAAGCAGGCAAGTCGTCTGAAAATTGAGAGAAATGTGATGGCGTCGTTTGCAAAATGTGCTCCGGCTTGCAAGGAACACTTTCCAGAATTGATTGATCTTGGACAGACTCTGGAATTGAAGGTACGAGCGATTCTGAAGGAACTCGTTGGAATTTTGAAGTTTCTTAAAATTTCAAAACTTTTTGAATCTATTGGATTTTTGAATTTTTTTCAAATCTTTTTTTGAGTTTTCGGATTCCGGGATTTTGGATTCTAATGTTCGGAAATTCTGAATCTCACAATCTCACAATCTCAATATCTCAGGAATTCAGTATTTCCAGGCCGAAAATCTGAAATTCTGAGATTCTGAGATTCTGAAATTCTGAGATTCTGAGATTCTGAAATTCTGAGATTCTGAGATTCTGAGATTCTTAGATTCTGAGATTCTGAGATTCTGAGATTCTGAGATTCTGAGATTCTGAGATTCTGAGATTCTGAGATTCTGAGATTCTGAGATTCTGAGATTCTGAGATTCTGAGATTCTGAGATTCTGAGATTCTGAGATTCTGAGATTCTGAGATTCTGAGATTCTGAGATTCTGAGATTCTGAGATTCCGAGATTCTGAGATTCTGAGATTCTGAGATTCTGAGATTCTGAATCTCTGAAATTCGGAATTTCTGAAAATCAGAAGTTCCCAATTTCCAGTGGATTGTAATGACTTTGGTCGGAGCATCTTTGGAAAAACTGAAACAGAAGGGATTCTCAAAGTCAACGGCTCTTCAATGTGGACTACAAACTATGAAAGTTGGAACTACAGTAATCCCGCTCCTATCAAAAACCTTTTCCAGGCAATCCACGACTTCCATATTCTGGGATTCTTGCATCGGGACATCAAACCAGCCAACTACTGTATAGGAGCCGGAGCCAAACGAGAGCTCATTTACATTTTGGATTTCGGGCTCGCCAGAAAATATCGTCAAAAAAATGGACAAGTAAGAGCTCCGAGGAATAAGACGAAGATGATTGGAACGCCAAGATACTGTCCAAGAGCATCACATCGAATGGAGGAATTGGCGAGAAAGGATGATTTTGAAAGCTGGTATTTCATGGTGAGGGCTTTCGTTTTTGGAAAATTTCTAATTCAAAAATCGAAATTTCAGCTTCTGGATTTCATGGATGGCGACAAAGGAGTACCATGGAAAGGACAGCCAAGAGAGACGGCGTACGCACTGAAGAGAAAAGTTTTCGACGAACCCAAATGGAGTGAGTTTGAAAACAATTGGATATTCAAAATTTTGAAATCGAATTTAAAAATATCAGTATCATAGGTCAGAAACCAATCCAATTTCTTGATTTTCCTTTATAACTTTTTGAATGTGAAACTTCGAAACCTTGAGTTCTTGAACTCTAATATTTACAGTATCCACCGTCTCTCGTGTTCCTGCTGAATTCGGAATCATGGCTGAGTATCTGAATAGTTTGTTATTCAACTCGGAAGTCGAATTTGGGTAAGTTATTGTGGTCCATATTTCATAAAACTTCGAGAATTCAAAAATTAATTTTCAGAGTGTTCCGTGAAGCCATCACAGACTACGCTCGTGGTTGCAATTTGACACTAAAAGAACCACTTGATTGGATGAGTGAAATGAAGAGTTTGGATACTACTTCCACGAGTACAACAATGCCTTCAACTAGCACACTTCCATCTACTAGTAGTACAATGCCATCTTCCAAAATTGTATGTTTTTTGTTTTTAATTTTTACAAAATCTATTTTTCAGGGATCATCTGACGACAATCGATCGATATTCTCGGAGAAAGCCGAAGAGAGTTCAATCGATCGGAGTCGTACTGGAAGTCGAAGTAGTCTTAATCCAAGAGGTAGAAAAGCACAACCAAGAGCATTTTGAATGTGCCGAACTAATTTTTTTTGTCTTTTCGATCCAATAAAGTTTAATTTGTATTTTCTTTCTGTTCTAAATTGGTTGAAATATACATATAAAGTAAAATATAGCAAAGGACTGGGACTTACCCTGTAAAAGTTGAGATGATTAATTTCGGTTCTTGTCAAAGATATTAAAAAGTTGTAAACTAACAAAATATTTTTGATATTATGATAAACATTTTATCAGTTTACACATTTGTGATATCTTTCACAGGGATTGAGATAATTGAGCTCAAAGTTTACAGTGTGGAGGATGTTCTCTCACAGGTTCGCGTTCTTGAAAAAGGAGTTTTCCGTGTCCTCGACATTTTTCAAACCCTCAATTTATTAATTTCTTTGACCTCCGTAAAGCCCTAACTAAATCAGGACAACGTCTAGGATCTAGAAGACTCTGAAAAAAACAGTACTAGTTCATAACGCTCAAGTTGCAGGATGTTTCAGGGTCTTCCTGGCTTCCTTGCTTCGAGGAGCAACTCCCCCCTCCTCGAAGCGCTCGACGACTTCAGCTTCAGGACAGGACAGGACAGGACAGGATGACGACTTCAGAACAACGGCTTCAGCACAGCCTCCCGGATTGGCAGGATTCGAACCGAGGATCGACATCTATGGATTCCACAATGGGACTAGCAAATTGGAGGTAAGGCAACGGGAGAGTTCAATTTTTAAAGTGTTCATTTTACAGATTGCTTCCTGGCTTCGAGGAGCAACGGCGAAGAGCAACTGCGGGGATCGACGGTTTCAACGACACTTTCCAGGATAGGCAGGATGTGGATCGAGGGTCGAGACGCATGGATATGAATTTTACTATGGAAAGCGAATTGGAATAAGGAAAGGGGAAATTCTATTTCAGGGGGATCAGTTACTCAAAGTTTTGAATTTGGCGCTATTTTCCTGGGTGTCCCGCGATTCTGTTTAAGAGTAGGATTTGAAAAAATATTATGTTATAAACTTTTAGTGAAAAAACAGCATTTAGGCGTTTCGCGAGTTTCGACACTTTTTTCACTGATCAAGTTTCAGGGGCTTCGTGTCTTCGAGGAGCAACTGCGAGGCTAGACTACAAGGACAGTTTCCAGGATGTGGACCGAGGATTGAGACGCCGCGTCCGAAATATGGAATACCAAAATGAAGGTAAGGAAAGGTTAGAAAAACTTTAATTTTTCGAACCTGGCGCACTTAGGTTCAGGGCAACGGGTCAGAATTCGCGCCCCAGTGAACGTGAGATTTTAAAAGAAAATCGCTGCTGAATTATTTGGCTGAGGATCAAACTTGAACGTTGGGCGAAAAAATCACGCGTTGTCACGCGTCAAATTTGAAATTATCAAATTTTTTCTGGCCTAAAAGTTATTTGGGGCTCGTTTTTTGACCCGTTGCCTTGGACCCAAGTGATTACGCCTAGAATTTTTTAAAGTTTCATTAAAAAAAACGGAAAATTTAATTTCACGCGAATTTCGGCGATGTTTTCACTAATCAAGTTCCAGGAGCTTCCTGGCTTCCAAGAGTAACTGCGAGGTTAGACGTCTTCAAAGAAAGTCAGGATTGGCAAGATTCCGATTGAAAGGATTGGAATAGCGAATTGAAGGTAAGGAAAGGGAGCACTATTTGTTTTGAATAACTTAAAATTTTGGAGAGTTAAATTCTTGAATTTTAAATTTAGCGCCATTTTTCAGTGTGCCCCAGCGAAAAAAAGACGAATCCGTTGAAGCCTAGAATTTTGAAATTTCTATTCCAGCCCCAAAAATTTTAGTCTTTCAAAATTATGAAATTTCCGAAACCCTAATACTAAGGATTTCTGAATTTAGGGTTCCCGTCAGCACCAACGGCTGATCCAGACTTTGATCTGAAAAGAATATTATGGAACGATTCCGATGAGGTAAAAAGAAAACGAAATTTTGCTGAAAATTATTTTCAATATTTTCAGGAGAAGTCTACATTTACAACCAGTAACGAATCAATCGACGTTTCGGATATTAGAACTTCGTGAACTCGATTTTTTTTCTGCTTCTTTTCTACCTCTTCTTGCTTCTTCCTTCTTCGTTATCGCGTTTCTCCTTCCATGTCTTCCGTCTTCGTTTCTTCGGGGTGTCTTCTAGATTTGATGTTATATTGGATGTTGTAGAGATTCTGATGCGTTGGTTTCTGAAATTGGTGTCAGGACAGTCCGTTGTCCGTTGTCCGGCTAATTTGGGTTATTCGTTGTCAGTCAATTTATTTTGTCAACATCCACTGTCAGTTGTCCGTTTAAATAGTTTTTTTACGTCTGTTTTCAGTCTCAGAAGGTAGTTAGAACGGTGTATGAGCTTCGTTTCCTTTTCCATCGTTAATTCGCACCCGACTAACTTTTCTTCTGAAATACTCGTTGATTTTGCAAAGTATTGGGTCCGAAGTTCAAAGTCCCGAAATTTTTGGATGTCCATTGTCCGTTGAAAAGTGCATCTGTGATTGGTATCTGACAACTATATTTTTCTAGAAATCGGTCAGTATTCGTTGAAAGTGCTGATGAATCTAAATAAAATTTGGTTATAGACCTGGGAAAATGATGAAAGTAAATCGGGAACAAAATTCTAATATCATATTATGGTGAAAATAAATGGCGAAGTTTCAAAAATTAACATAAATTCTGGTTCAAATACTTTGTGTCCCGAATTCATCTCAATAAATGATTCAAGCTGGATTTTTTGTTGTTTATACATTCTCATTGGCAAACCAATCCTGCCCAGAATATAAACTTTCATAAAAACCACAATTTAAATGTGCATAACTTAGCAGCAAAAGGTCTGAAAGTGCATAGCTCAAGGTCTGAAATTTGGAATTTCAGGGATGCCGGCCATGATCCTACTATCGGGAATGAACGAAAATAGGTCATGATTATAATATGAAAAATAGAAATACGTCGAATTTCTCGAGTTACTTGCAAAATTGAAGGAGTTATTTCTGTTTTAAGAAGCCATGCGCCGTTAAAGCGAAAATTTGATGTGGACAGGTCCTAGTCGTGTTTATACTCCACGGGGTTGCTACCGGTAGCATCCAACAAACGCGCTTTGTCGCACTCAAGGGGTTGGCACCGAGCCAAGTCATCATTTATTCAAAATAAGGACTCTCACTTTGTGTTGCGAAAGTTCTCTGCGTATCCTCTCCGTGTGGCTACGCAGCGACCGCGTCGCGCGGCGCAACGCGCCCAAGAGAACTGGCGCCAATTTGAATGAATGTACCTTGTTGCAACCCCGTGTACTCATTTTGAAGCTCTTTACATTGCAAATCGAACTCAGGGATGTTTAGTTCAAAAAAGTAAAATATCTAAAGTTATGTTTGAAACTTTCGAAAATTTATAAAGTTTGACACCATTTGGGTGCGCTTAAGAAAAACACTGTAAAAACAAACACACAATGCCATATCCGTTCTCCTTGTTTGCCTCATTTTAGACCTCGAATACTGCGCAAGGTCGTCATGGGTTTTTTTCGTCCCTCATGTCCCTTCTAGATGACTGTGTCTTCTTATACTTTTTCAGTAGACCATTCAAGTTCGGATGTTTCTTTTACAAAGTTAACAGGATAATCCTATAAAAGGAAGCCTATTTCATGTTTCCGAACTTTGCTCAATCGATGAACCATAAAATGTATCAATCATTGCAGATGTTTCTTCTTCCCTCTCTTCTCATCCATGCTTTCGTCTGTTACACTCTTCTGGTCCTCCTCCACCTTGACCTTTCCCTACAGGCTCTCTCGGTGTATGGCTCTTTGGTGAACTTTGTGCTCTTATATCACACACCCCGAAAAGACATTTCCTTTCCCTTATTTTTTTTCGCAACTTCTCCGGGTCATTCAGAAACACGTAATGGGGGAGGAGATTAGCATTCATGTGTGTGTGTGTGTGTGTGTGTGTCTGTGTGTCTGTGCATGTTTTTCGTCGCTTATGTATTGATTGGAGGGCACATCTATCCCTTGTTGCTTTGATTCCGTCGACGCATATGTTGATCTTTTTGTGCCATGTATTGTTTTCCCTTTTGAGTTCTTCAAACCCTCACACATTCTATTAGTACACATTCTAGTACAGTCTTGGTTGCCACTCTATCAAATGATCGACGTACAGTTCCGAAAAATATCAATCACCCGTAGAAGGTCAAATGCCCTTTTCCGTACTCAGGATCGCAACATCGATTGAAAAAAACCAGTTTTCTTATTGAGTTTCCCGAATTTCTTTCATCAAAATGTCGAAGAAAAACTGGATAGAAGAACAGTAGTTTCACATATTCGTTAGTCGTCATTTCCATTTTTTTCTGTTTCAATGTTTAAACTTATTTCTTTTTTTTTCAGGTAAAAAAAGATGAAAGGCGCTTCACAACCGTCTTCAACCAAAAAACCCAATCAGTCAGCCAGACCAAAATATCAGGTAAAATACAAAATATCTGATAAAATACGCAAGATGACCGGACGATTGCTCCGATGGATGGGGGACCAAAGAATTCGAAAAAAATGTATTACACAGTGAAAATACCTATCAAAACCAGAGCCAAGAAACCTGGTCTATATGATACCAATTGACAATTCCAAGCAACACTTAGAACTCATTCATACAAGCTGAAGAACGCAATGAAAGCTCTAGAGCCGCTGATAGGGTGCTCTAGAACAATCTGGTCGTTTGGAACTGAATTCCGGCGAACCAGAAACGCCAATGCCGAAACCTTCGAAGAATCTGAGAAATTAACATTGAAGAACATTTTAACGATGAGTACAACTATACTACAAAAAAGTTGAGTCAAGTCAATAAAACCCACCAGAGATGTCCGGAATCTTTTTTTCGAGAAATGGAATCCGGAATCATGAAGAAAACCATTTTCTCGGAATCAGGAATAAATTAACTTCTCTAAATTCGGAATACGAAATAAAAAAAACGGAACAAAAACAAGCGCGGAATGCGGGAACCAAGATCCGGAATCTAGAATTTGGGCACCACCAAAGTTCTAGAAAACACACATTTCGCTTTACTTTGACACATTTCCGAACTAAAAAATGAAGAGCAGAATGCTACAAATTTTCTAATTTTCCCAGTTTGAAGTCGTTAATTTCTTTTTTAAAAATCCAATTATCTCGGTTCCTATGAAAGATAACAAGAATTTGTCAACTGATAAAACGTTGGTAACTTCACGAAAAACATTTTACCAGTTGACAAACTTTTGAAGGAACCGAGATAATTGAGCTCAAAATAGAGAGAGCTTCTATTAGAGCAAATATGGTAGTTTCGTATCTAACTTTCTCAATGATTTATAATTTTTCTGAATTAAATATAGAGCGTTTACGATAACTGGTTCCATTGAATCTAGTCCAGCAGGTTTGATATCTCTCGAAACATGTCTTCTTTGAATCGATCGATGATCGGTTCTTCTCAAATAAAAAGTCTTAACTTCATGCTCAACGTAGAATGTGCTCAATGTCCCCTTGGTACGTACCACCTCTCTTTTTTACAACGATCATCATTCTCTTATCTCTTTTTTCTTCCCCTTCGTGTGTCGGCAAGCTCTCTATATGCTCTCCGGTGGTGGTGTGCAAAGTCTGACATTTTATCACTTTTATCGGTAGAAGAAATAAAATAGAATCACGATTGACCACAAGTCTTCTTCATTCGTCATTCTGATTTCTGATTTTCTAGTCTTCATATTTGTTGATTGAGGTGAGATATTCTTTTGGTATTAATTATCCCTTCTATTAATTAGTTCTCTTTTGACTTGAGGTCAAAGATAATTGTTTAAATTAGCATAATTAGACAATTTAGCATTAACTAGTCAGTATAATTAGGCATTTTAGCTCTTTTCAGGTCGTTTTTATTCGGTTCTATTTTAGACTCCAATTTGGGCAAGCAATTGAATTCGATTTTTGGTTTTGACATTGTCTCTGGGACGGCTTATTTAAAACAGATTCTTATCAGTTAGATCCGGGAGAATAAAACTGTAATCATCTTATGACGTCAATAGAAAAGATAGTGACATTAAAAATTATTTGACACTTTTTTCACTCAAATGTTTAACAATTTGTCTCATCAGCCATGGGTTTTTGAGGTGAGATAAAACATTCATTTTTCAATTCCCGCAGAATCGGATTGCCCCCAAAAATGTGTCCCTAAAGTAGTAAAGTAAAAAATATCATATCAAAACCATAACATTCGTAATACACCTAAAGTTACACTCCTCGGTGAGCAATCAAAATACCGTAACCACTCTAATAGAAAATCCTAACTTTGATCTTTGAGCGGATATATCTCATTTTCTGTGAGAGATATCAAAAAGTAGTCAGCTGATAAAGTGTTTATCATATTATCAGAAACATTTTGTTACTTGATTACTTTTTTATACCTTTCTCAAGAAACGAGATAAATGAGCTCAAAGTTGGCACCCCTTGTAGGAGTGAATCCGGACAAGGACAAATGGCGCTTAAGAGAAAGGTGCCACCTTTAACCCAATTTATCTCGTTTTCTGTGATAAATATCAGAAAGTAGTCAACTGATAAAATGTTTGTCATAATATTACAAAAAATTTTAGTTAACCATTAACCGAGATAATTGAGCAAAGTTTGCACCTCTTCCAGGCGTGAATCCGAAATAGGTGCCTCGTTTGACCCAATTTATCTTGTATACTGTAAAAGGTATCAAAAAGTAATCAACTAACAAAATGTTTATCATAATAAGAAAAACATTTTATCAGTTGACCACTTTTCTATACCAATTACAGGAATCGATATAAATCAGCTCAAAGTTTTTATGTCTCCATACGAACTCCCAATTTTCAGCTCAACATGAACGATTCGTCATCCAGCTACACTCCGGAATCGGATTCCGGTGGAAAAATGGACAAAACCGAAGCGCAGCATCGTCTGGCTACAATCAAACAAGGATCAGAAGATGTCAGCAAGTTCTTTGATAGATGCCGTCATTTGGTGGAAATCGTGAACGAGAAACCAATCGATAAAAGTACAGACTCCTACCTTCAAGCAGTTTTCATGAATGGATTAGACGAAAAAACTCGAAAATTGATCCAATTGGCTAATGCCACCGATGCATTCTCCGCCAGAAAAATTGCGATCCAAGAAGAAATTTTCAGTAGCGCGCGAATGATTCAACCAGGAATTGAAGAGGATCGAATCCATAAAATCGAAATTTTGAATTATCTGGAATGGGATAAGCTTCGAGAGCTAGATGGAAAATTCAGCTATATGTATAAAGAAATGCATCAAATGAAGAAAGACGTCACTGATATCAAAGGAATGCTAACCCAGCTTCTGGAAAATACACAGAAGGAAAAGGAAGAGACACCGGTGGCAGTAATTAATCATCCAGTTGAAAAAGAAGCAGAAGTTCTGATCAAGATAAATGAAATCAAAGAGATCAACGAGACCATCACCGCTAAACTAGAACCACTTGAGACAATCGCAAAAGCTTCTGCCCATAGTTATGAATGGATTCGTCAAGTTTGGAAAGATGTTAACAGGACCTCTCAGCAAACTCATTCAAAAGTGAAACTTCCATTGATTCTTGGTTCTCCATCTGGAACCCCTTCTCCAATCCTATCTTCTGGAAAACGTTCATCGAGTTCTGTTGAAGAGACTCCATCGGAACCAAAAAGATTACGAATGGAGGAATCCAAAGCTTTGGCTTACATCAAACCCCATATTCCAGATGGATACTTCATCAAACTGCTTCAAGGAGATCTACCAGTGAAATTGGATGAACTTTACAAAATCTATTATGACCGTTCGAAACAAATTTCCAATTGGATGGGACCAAAAGAGACACCTCCATTCAATAAAATCTGTCCATTCTGCCACAAACGCGATCATCATTCCTACGAGTGTGATAAAGTGATAAGCGTCGACGATAGAAGACAAATGATAAAAGACCAAAACTCTTGCATGGAGTGTTCAAAACATCACAGAAACAAGTGCACATTGATTCTCTCGTGCCCAATTTGCACCAAAGCAAGAGACACCAATTAAACAATCATCGGCGGAGTTCAACACTGTAGAACATTCTGCCCATTACAAGAAGAATACCATTTGGCAAAAAGTGTCTGCAGAAGATTGAATACTGCAAAGAAAATGTGCGACGATGAGAAGAAATAATGAATATTGGTCAACTGCGAACGCACTCCACTGAGACAACCCGATAAACAACCCGATAATTTATCGGGAAAAGTGGGCGGAGCCTAATTAGCAAGCTGCACACGGTTTTGCCACACATTTTTTTGTGCAATTGCGTAAGGAAAACCGTGCTCAGCTTGAAATTTAGGCTCTGTTCACTTTTTCCAGGAAATTGCGTTTTTTTCGGAACATCACTTAAATGCGCTCGAATGCTAGTTTTTCAAAGAGGCGCTGGTCTCGACGCGAAAACTTCAAATTGAACTGCCAATCCTTACAGTTTTGTGCCTGAATTCCATCGAAAAAACCGCGGGAAAACATTCATTCAAAAATACGTTCCGGAAAAAACACCATGAAAAGTGCGCCCCAATGAAATCCTTTATTCTCGTTGTCTGAATCTCCTCATTTCCCACACTATTTTTCCTCACTTTGCGCCTTCTCAATAGAGCGCACTTTACAAATCCCCAACTCATACAACGATTCTTCTTTTTTACTTTTTCCGATCTCTCTCAATTTCTCTTCCCTTCTCCTTCTTCTGATCATTTCATTCCCGATTCGATTTCAATAAACTGTGTTATTTTTGCCAATTTTCTTTTTCTCTCTAACTCAAAAAATTTGAGTCAAAAGACAAGACAAAAACTTTATATTCGAAACATTTCCTGATGACAAAAATAAAGTGCTTCTAGTTTCTAGAAAAAAGAGACAATCGGGTTTGTTTTTCAAAGAGAGAACGAGCAATAATCAATTCCCGTAATGCGGTAATCAGTGGCGGTGGGTGGGGCGGATGAAAAATAAAGGGGCTTTTGACACACGGAAGAAAGAAGGAGAATATTCAACAATGAATTAGGCACATGGAATAAACGAATCTATCTATATTTATAAATTTACAAATGAGAGATCTTCAATGAAAGAATTTGCTATGAGAGGGTTCCTGATTCAGGAAGATGGTGGTGGGCGTGGAGTGACTACACGGCTAGGATCGTTGGATCCACTTCCGCCGGATCCACCAGATGACGATGAATTGCTCGGTGGGCCAATGACAAGATCGTCGTCTTCAGAGAACGAGTCGTTGCCAGTTTCGGATTGCGATGATTCCTCTTCCTCGTAGAAGTCGCTTTCTGGAAGAAAAATGCATAGATTGGGGGAACATGAAAGAGCAAAATAGAAAAAAACGAGCAGTTTTGAGAATTACAGGCATGAATTAAAAAAAAAACTCACCATTGAACAAATCATCATCCAACAGGAAATGATCACCAGCTCTTCCGACCGGACCAGAAGTTGCAGACGGATTCAGACTCATCGAGTGTCGCAACGTCGGTCGCATCACCGGAATTTTGGACATTGCAGCAGCGAGATCGGTGAATGAAACCGCACGAGACACATCTGGCTTCTCACGACGACTTTGTTGTCGTTTGAACTTTCTGGCCTCCTTCTCGTCTCCAAGAATACCAGCACGATCGTTTGTGATCAGTTCGTGCACCGCTTCACGTCCATATTTCAGTCCGAGGGCCTGGAAAATCAAATTATTATATTCAAGCTCAAATTCATGTAGAACTTACCATAATCTCATTGAACTTCGGGAAATCCAGTGTTTTGAATGGCTCTATTGGAGGTCTCAGATATCTACAGTACGACGCTTTCTTGACAACCTCCAACTGTCGAACACAGGATACGTAGGCGAGTCGGCTCTGGATCTCTTCCATATTCAGAATTCGTACTGGCTCTCCGAACGGATTCAGACGTTTCAGAAGCACCCAGATTCCGCTCAACGAGTCTCCATAGTCGTACAAATTGGTCTCTTCTATCGATCCAACGTCACAAGCGATCACACAACGGGCTCCCAAATTTCTCATCACATCAGCTGGCACGTTGTTGACATATCCACCATCCAGAAGGAGGTGGCCATCTTGTGGATCACAGAGTGGTGGAAGGTATCCAGCCAATGACATAGACGCACGACAGTAAGCCCAGAGTGGTCCAGATCGATGAACTCGCATTTCCGAAGTGCTGATGTCAGTGGAGATACAGAAGTAAGAAATCCAGAGATCCTCGATAAGACGTTCTTCGAACAGGTCCTTGATTGTGTAGTTGAATTGAGCACCGGTGAACATAGCACTATGAGCATAAGTTAAATCAAGAAGTTTTCTCCACAACGAAGACATCACACTGAACCAAGACGCAGCCCGTTGTTCCACAATTTGATCATCTGGAGATTCAGCATAAAGTCCTCCGATCAACGATCCGATTGATGTTCCTCCAACGATATCCACTGGGATTCCCTCCTCTCTAAGTGCTCGGAGAACTCCAACATGTGCTGCTCCTCTAGCTCCACCACCACCAAGAACCAATCCGATGGCATTTCCAGTCAGAATTCGTGCAAGTCTCGAGAAGTCAGATCTTCTATCAGTTGTCCAGAATACATTCTTCTCGTAGTACTCGATAACTTCATGCTCCACGTTGGACGGTGTCATCAGATCAATTCGGCTCTGTTTTCGAACTTTTCTATTCCACTGGAGCATTCTCTTCGGTGCACGGATATGGTGATGACCAGAGAAATAGCTGTTCTTGAGCCATTCAATCGTTCCAGATGGGGTCTTCGTGCTCTCTGGCCACAGTAGAATCAGTTCCTTGTTAGTACGAACTCCATCCTGATTCATACTCATCAAGTCCTTCATCAGTGTCTGTTTCTCCGGATGTTTTCCACCAATGGCAACGACTAAAATCGCATCAGCCTGTCGAAGACACCGTCTCGTCCAATTGGTCGGAGTGAAGTCGCATTCATAGATCACCAGTGGATACGTGTCTTCCTGAACGTTCAGCCAATGCATCAGACGGAAGTCAGCTTGTCTGAAAAAGGTCAAATATTCAACTGGGATAATAATAAAAATTAGCACTTACTTCTCCAAAACACTCGGATCTAAACAGGCAGCCACTTTCTGACTGCTGAGACGAAGAACACGAAGATTGGAGGATAGAGCATGATAGAGTTCACATGTGAAAGGCACCAATGGAACATCTGGAGATGCTGGGACCACAGCGATGGTATGAAGATTCTTGATGTGACTCATTGGATCGGTAGCGCCCATTTCATTGGTTCTTATGACAGTTGGAGCAGCAAACTGAGCCCGGCGATTCGTTTGACTGTAGTACTGACCAAGAAGCTGAACCAAACGGAATCCGACTTGTGGGTATTGCATTTTGATAAAGTTCAAAAGTCCTTCTGGCACTCGAGCAAGTTGAGAGAAACGAACAGCAAGTACTGTAGTTGCACGTGGCTTTTTGGTGAGCACCTCCATCATTCCGAGCACATCTCCACGACCGAATTCTTCTACAACTGTCTTCTTCTCAACGGAACGAAGTCGTCCACTGAGAACGACGAATAGGGAGTCAGCCATGTCTCCAGCACGATAGCAAGCGTGTCCCGAATCGACGAGGACCCAATCCAATGCAAAATCGACTCCACGAAGGAATGGAGAGAGTCGACGTAGAACAGAGTGAGCTACTGGAAGGTAGATCTCAGGATGTGCTTCTAAGAACGTCGAGAAATCCTTCTTCTTCATGATGGCCACTTTAGTTGGCACCGCTGCACGAATTGTATAGAACGATGGTTCATTCGTCAGAATCTGAAGGCCACCGACGAGTTCCCGAGCTGTGACTCGAATCACTGCACTCTCGTCTTCCTCATTATTCTCCTCATCGAACAGAGATTCCTGAAAAATTAGTATTGACAGTGTTAGATAAAGAATCGAAATGAGTTAGTGTAGGACACTCGGAAACTTATCAAATCGTATCACCCTTACTCACCCTCTCCAGCTCTGCAAAGTACTGCGAACCGGACTAAACGAGATTTTGGGTTTGGGGAAGTGATCCCAGGGGGAAACTAACCTGAGCAAGAATCAAATTTCCATGGAGCACCATCATCAGAACCTCTTCCTCTGCTCCTTGCTCAATGATGACGTGACCGGCGTCATAGCTCTCCAGATGAATCTTGTTGCCGATTTGTTCTGAGATAGCGTCGTCTGCAACGAGTCCAAACGCTTCGGCCATCCATTTTCTGGCAGTTGTGAGCTGATCTTCTTCGCCTGGAAATGATTTTTATTTTGAAATAGAAGTTTATTCAGATGACCTAGAAATCCGAATCTCTCGAAAGTTAGGCTATTGTGTGCATGGTGTTGAAGAACATTCAGAAATTCAAAACCAGAGAAAAACTAGGTCACAGTGTTCATCGTGCTAAGGAACATTATACGAGAATTATGAATCAATTTTCAGATTTCGAAAATCTTGCTTTTGAAAGAAGTTATGATAATGTCACATTTCTGTGAAAATATGGCCTAGTTTTGGGTTCCTAGGCTACCAAACTGAAATAGGCATATCTCGCTTCACAATAAATATTTTGGAACTCTAAAAAACGTTTTGAATGATTTTAGAAAAAAACTTTCGAACCAATTTGAGCATGGCCTATGAAACTCACTATCATTGATATTGAATGGTTTCTCTTTCTTTTTCAGCGACAACGTCAAATGGAGTTTCGATGTGCTGCTGCCATTGCGCACCCTGTCGTCGTCTCTTCTCTAAAAACTCCTTTTTTTTCTATGAAAATGATAAATTCTGCTTACTCTTCTCATCAACTCGCTGCTCAGTCCCATATACTGATGCAGTGTGGTTAGTGTGACATGAAGCAATCGAGTAATGACAATTTGAATCGGACGGATCCATGCTTCTGGATTCTTGTGGTACGACTCGCGGAACGAAGTGATCGGGAATTTGGCGACGCGGCATGGTTCGGCGGCTTTTAGGGCTACTGTACGGAAGATGGACGGGAAATCCATGAGAATATCGAGCATTGAGAGGAGTGAAAGAAACTTCCTCCGGCTGGAATTCGTTTAACCAGATACTCTTTGCCTTCCATGTGCTGAAAATATGGGAATTCCAATTTTCAGAAAATTCAAAGTTAGACATACCCGAATGTGAACAGTCAATTCTCCATCAATCGCAACGTAAATCGCGTCATCTGATTCTCCAGGCTTCACAATGTACTCTCCAGCTTGGAAAGACCGAACCTCAATCTCTCGTGGATCCAACTTCCATTCCGATGGCAACTCGAGCATCTTCAAATTATGAAGAATATAGAATATCTCGGGTTGAAGATTCTGTGGGATCTCTGGAAGATCTGTAGGTTCAAAGAATTCTTGTGGAGGACGAAGACGGGTGTCTTTGTTGTTCTCCTGATTCTGTCGGAAGTACACACGACTTCCACGACGGAGGAGGTCCTTGGCCATCTGAAATGCTGTAGAATGACGTCTTCCAGATTTGGAGCCTTGTTTCGAACGACGTCGAGGGAGTGATGCGCCACCCATCACAAGATTTCCGTTGTCTTCGTCGGATGAATCGTCCGTGGGTGTTCGGCCAGGAGAATCTTGCTGGAATTTGAGATGTTTAGAAGACGACAAACTTCGAAGTTCTCACCACTAAACTCTTATAAATCTTCTTGGCCCAATCTCGTTTTCTCATCCGTCGTGAACCCGCCAAATTGGATCCGCTGATTGAAGTAGGCATAGTGTTGAGTGGAAGTGAAGTCGGCGGTTCCAGTGGAAGTGATTTAGTGGGTGTACCCGTTCTCGGAAGTCCATCGACACGTGTCTCATCATCCTCGTTGTCTGTCTCCAGAATCGTCGGCACTTTCTTTTTACGTTCTTCTGAAACTTAGGAACTTCGTAATCTTTTTTTAAATTTTTCCGAGGTTTTAAAATAAGGTACTCAGAGTACCTTATTTTAATACCGTACTCTTCTGTGATATAGGGCAGCTTCATAAGCTAACTCACTATTCGGGGAGTTTCTAGCTGACGTGGCGGCACTCGACGACGCCGATGATGGTGTGTTGGAGTAGGCGAAAAGATAGTAGGAGACGAAGAACGCGACGGCTCCAATTATGCAAACGGTGAATAAAATGAGGAGAACCTGAGAAAACGATCTTACAAATCCTCGTCCTGTGAAAATTGAAAACTTACATGGTTATAAAGGAATGTGACAAGAAAAATGATGGGTGCAAATATTGAATAGAGGAAATTCATCGAGATGATAACCGCATTCGCTTCTGTGGAGGGAACTGCAACAAGAGAGGTGGTTGGTGGGAAATTAGGACAACTCGGTGCCAAGAAACGGTTGCGAAAAACGGGCACGTGAAAAACGCGAAAAGCAGAGAGAGGAAGAAAGAGGTCAAATTGTAAAAAAAAAATCGGAAATTTTGAAAAGAGTTGAGATAGAAATGTCGAGTGCTTAAAATGCAAAAGTGTGCAAATTTGTATTATAATATTGTTTTCTACAAGTCAAGTTTTGCAAAAAAGTGCAGAAATTCAAATTTTGGGAGTGAAAAATCGCGCCGTCATACCGTAAAACCTGTATTAGAACCCTCTAATGAAAGGGCCCTCTGGGAAGGGCTTGGAAAAATAGTAGAGTAAAAATAGCAGGGGGTAATAAAAATAGTAAAAATAGTATTTTGGAAAAATAGAAGGACCCGCTGTAATTGAAGGGCCCCTCTAATAGAAGGGCACTCCGGGATAGAAGTGCCGGTTCTTCTAATACAGGCTTTACGGTAAAAACGTTGAATGAGAAAGTTGATCTCACCACGATTAACTACAGTAACTTGAATTTTTTTCAAAAAAAAAATTGAATTCTACCAGTCGAAAAACCATATTTATGTATTTTCAAAGTTCAGTCCTGCGAGAAAAAACGCAAAAATGCAAAATTTTTTCCGGAAAAAGGAAAATTGAGCATAAATAACGAGGAATTTTCAAATCTCTCCTCCGTCGTCACAAAATATTAAAGTATGCTACACTTTCAGCAGTCTAGTGTATCTTAGTGGGTGATCATAAAAACGTTACTTTTTCAAAAATATGGAACACCAAGAGGTCATGAATCTTAAATGTTAGGTCAACATCACACAAACAGAGAAAGGTGTGACATAAAACAACTTTCTTTGGTGCCTAGGAATGACGTGATGGCGAGGGGAAGAGAGGAGGACATTTGACCAGCAAAAACATAACAACTATCTAGCCAACGATAAGAAACAAAAACTGTTTGCTTGTTCTTTAAATGGGGTTTCCCGGGTCACAGAACAGATCATTATTATGCCACGAATGAGAGAGCACGATCTATGGGAGAGACGCAGATGGTTAGAAAAGCCGGGAGAAGAGAAGGTGCCAGAAGGAACTCGTTATAATTTATGAAGAGAAGGATGACTTTTCATCTTTTTGGATATCATTTTTTGGCAACTTTTTTTGACAAGTGTACTTTCCCTTTCGAGACACATTATTATGCATTTTTATCCTATCCGGTTTTTACCCCCATCAGACAATCCCACGTGGGAAAAAAAAACTTGAGGGATGTTTCCTTCTCTTGATCAGATATATCAGTGTAACAGAAGAAGAAGAAGAAAAAAATGTGAAGGATAGTAGGATGAGGATCGGGTAAAAAGAGTGACTGAAAAATATCTTGGGAATTTTTTTGTGTTCTTCTTTGAGTGTAGTCTCACTACATTTTTTGAGATGAAATTGGAGAAGGAGATGAAATGATGGGGTGGAGACGGTATAGGTGAAAGAATGAAAAAAAAATAGGTGAAATACAAATTAAAAGTTCGGAAGTTCGGGAAAATGATGTAATTTGGATAGGTTGAATGAGGAATATTGCTCATTTTTGGAAAAAAATTGCGAAATTGAGAATTCTAGCAAAAATTCAGAACGACTAGCATTGCAGGGCTCGGAAGGACCTTACGGAAATGTCGATTTTTGAAATTTCGAAAAATCCAATTTTGAAAATACGAAATTTCCCGATTGAAAACCTCGGAATTCCAGAATATTTCCATTTTTAAAATTTCTTTCAAATTTTTTCACTTTCCAATTTCCAAAATTTCGAAATTTCAAAAAGTTCCGATTTTAAAATTTTCGAAATTGTCAGAATTTGAAAATTTCGGATTTTTTCAAAACTGATTTTTTTCAAAATTTCGGAAAAAATCCGATTTTAATTTTCCAAAATGTTCAGAATATCAAAATTTCGAAAATTCGGAATTTTTTTAAACTCAAATTTCATAGCAGAAATCCCACTGTTCACCAGAACAGTGCCAAAAAATGAAAAAAAAATTGGTAAACAAATTTCGAAAAAGCGAAAAAAAATAATTTCGAAATTTCCGCTTGAGGTCCACAAGGAAATCATTCGCATGCGCCTTTGAAATACTGTAGTCCAAAAAAAAGTTCTAATTTGGAGAAAATTCGGAATATTCCGGTAGGAATTTCATTCTGAAAATGGTCCGAATTTTCGTAATTTTGTTACTAAAGCACCTTGAAAATCTTGTTCATATTTGAAGAAATTTAGAGGCGAAACTCAGGAAGTTGAGAATTTAAGGAAAAATCACAAAACTGAAACTATATATTTTCAAAGTTATTTTAAAATATTTAGGAATTTCGCACCTGTTTTTCCGAAACATTGAAAAATTGCAACTTCTTCTCTTGGATTCAAGCTTCAATCATCACCAACAACATGTTTTTTCTTATCTTTACTGATAATTTTCCACAAAAAACATTTCCAACTGATCTGTTCGAAATTTGAGATTTCATAGATCTCGGGGTGTCACACCCTCACAGATTGACACGGAACTTTTTCTCCAAAAAGACAAAAAAGCAGCAACATAAAAAAGTTATCTGCCAGAGCAGCTGACCCCAAGGAGAACAGAGCAGCTTGTGACTTCTTTGGGTGACAAAACAAAAAATCTGGAAGTCTCAAAAAATTTTTGTTCGATGAAACTTTCGAAATTGACACACAGAAAATGTGTTTTTGTTGACTTTTTCTATCTAATGATGTTTCATTCAAACAAACGGAAACAGTAGTGATGAGATAAAATTCACATGATTGCCGGGAGGAATGGTTGTTCATTCAATCAGTGATTTAATCAAAAAATGAAGGGGATTGTCGGTGGTGAGAAATATGAAACATAGGTTTCTATCTACACTTTGAGTCAATATTGACTTTACAGTGGTAAAGAAATATGTGTTATTTCGAAAAATGTGCCATTTTAAAAAAGAAGAATCGGTAGAGAAAGAGCACAATCGCATGAAGCACAGAAACTAGGAAGTGACATTCTTATCATCATTATATCACACACTAAAATCGTCTACTTTTCTCGTCACGTGGGGTCTATCTCTCTTTGCCAAAGAACAAAGGGAGTGATAAGTGATAAGCCATACATTTTTCAAAAAGCTGGGTGACGAATTAGTGAACTGGACAACTGATTACGGGAAAGTCTAAAGATAGAAGACCAATTGGGGAATTTTTTAAACGGAATCGAAATATTAGATATTGAGGAAGAACTCAAAACTGTGTCTTGTTCGGAAGAGGAGGGGCCAATTGGAAAGTTTTCAGTGCTACAGTCCTTCTCATGTGACTATGACTTTGAAAACAATTTTGGGTTTTTATTTTATTTTTGGATTTTTTAAGTTTTTGAATTTTTCGATTTTTTGAATTCCTCTAATTTTCGAAGATTTGAACTTCCGAATTTTTGGGTTTTCAAATTTGCGAATTTTAATATATTGAATTCTCTTTTCTCGTATTTTGAAATATTCGACTTTTTGGGAAATTCGAATTATTCAAAATTCTGAATTTTAAGATTTTCGAAATTCCGGGTTTTCGAATTTCTGAATTTTTTGGAATTTTCGGATTTTTTGATTTCCTTCGGAACTTTTTCGAATTGCGAATTTTTGAATTTTCAAATTTTCAAATTTTTGGAATTTCGAATGTTTGAGTTTCCAAATTTTGGATTTTCGCTTTTTTTTTGTTTTTGAATTCTCGAAGTTTCGAATTTTCAATCTTTTCAAGCTCTAAATCGGTGTTTTCCGGAAAAAACAAAGCTGGTGGCCAAACTTTCGCAAGTTGACTCTTTTAGGCCACGAACGGAAAGTTCGGCTTATTTAGATAACCTCAGATTTTAAAAATTCTTCAAAATTCGAATTTTGGCCCAAACCTCACAAATCTACGGGCACACACAAGACAAAAAATATGTCATTGGTGGACCAGCCGAATCATCGTGATGCCCATTAATCATTAACACCCCAGAATGATGAAAAATATACCACGAGTTGAAAACACACACTAAAAAGCTTGTCAATCAACAAAAGAAGAGCACGAAGTCTGTGTGAATACATGAGTAACTGTCAAGAAGGAACAAATTCTCGGGTTGCAACCGAAGAAAAAAGTGCATGGGAGATTGACATGGGATATGACTATTGAGTAGGCGGAATAGAAAAAAATAAACAGGTGGCTTTTGGAGAAAAAAAAAAGAAGAACGACTTTTGAAAGTTTCTTGCAGGATTAGCCTAGGGCGAAATGGAAAGATAGAGAAGAGACGCAGACAGTTGGAGAGGAAAATACGGAGGCGAGGAGTGTTTGGAAAAAGTTCATGGGGCAAATTAAGAAGCACAAATAAAAGGGGAAAGGACTGTTTTGATAGACTGTCTTATGGGTGAAAAGGGAAGAGAAGTGAACTATGTACCCATGACAGAAACGGTCTGTAGCCTATGAGATCGGTGTCTAATCGAGCGGACGGATCAATGTGACCCATTCTTCAGTGTCTTTTCGAATTATTACATCAGATTTGAGATGGTGGTGGTGACCTTATGACGTATTGGTGTGTGATGGGTATGAATTTAGGATTACCTTCAAATTTTTTGGCGCCAAAATAGGTGTCTCAGTTGAGGTCAAGCAAGGCGCTTCCGCCTAAGCCTATAGAATTGAACAAAAACAAAAAAATTGAACAAAATCCAACTCAAAAAAGCAAACGAAATTCGCGAAAATCGGCGAAATTCTCACCTTTTCAGCTGGAATTTCTTCTGGATGTTTTTAAAATTTGTAGGCTAGCCTATAGGCTTAGGCTAGGCCGAATATTTACATTTTTTCTCTGGAATTTCTGTTTTTTCGTTCAAATTATAGGCTTCGACTAAGACGACTTCTTTCCCTTCCACTGGGACACCCGCATTTTGGCGCCAAATTCAAAAAATTTGAGTGCCGAACTGGAGTAAAATATTGGGAAAAAAATGCTCAATCTGTGGTTTTCAAGATTGCGGAATTCGAATTTTCGAAAGTTGAATCCCCTAAAACAAGTGAAGAACATGACAATTTTCAAAAAAAAACAAGAGAAATGTCATCTAAAACAATCTTTTTACACAGAAAAATAACTTTTTCGAAATTTGGCTAATTTTCTATAGAAAACTTTTATGAAATCACATGCAAAACTCTGCAAAAATAGGTATATTTAGAAGGCTTTGAAAATAAAAACTAAAATTCTGAACAAAACGCTCTTCGCCTCGGAAACTGAACGTTTTCGCTTCGAATTCGAAAACAAAACTCTTGAGCGATTTTTTGAATTTGGCCTGATTTTCAGTACTTTTTCAAACAAATTACTGTAAAACCACCCAAAATCTCTCACAAACTAGGATGTTTCTCTAACAAATCTTTTCTTCTCCCAAAAAATTCGAAAATTTTCTTCAAAAAATTCAAAACGAGAAACCAAACACTGAAAGCCGGGGCTCTGTGCACATCTTCCATTACGGCTCCTCCGTTGAAGGAAAAAATAAGAAGAAAATGCAAGGATATTCGAGCATTTTCTTCTTTCTTCCCCTTCGTTTTCTCTATTTTGGCCACCAAGGCAGCAGAAAAAAACCAAAGGACAAGTCAGACAGAAAACACGGACCTGAAGGGAAAAGGAGAACTCCCCTGGGGACTTTCTGAGGCAGAAAAAAGGTCTGGAAGGGGGATTGATGCAAAAAACTGATGCAAAAAGGAAATAATAAATAAATATTTCAAAAAGCAGGTGGTGCCCGTTTTGGGATGCTGAAATTTGATACTCTCGCTCAAGGATGATTATGAATAGGAAAATGCAACTTTTAAAAAATGAATGAATGTCTGAACTTTCGATTTTTTATGCTTTTTCAGAAGAAAAATCCTGAAAATACAGTTCTAAACATACGAAAATAAAAATGGAGGAAATTCCAGGTGAAAAGTGTGCACACGCTTTGCGGACTATTAGGCCACGCCCACTTTTCCGTGCCTTCAAATTGGCGCGAGATCTAAATTTTTAACTTTTCAGCCAAAAATATTTTCTTCAAGCTTTTTCGAACAAAAAAGCTTATTTTTTCTTGTTTACACCGGAAAAAATAAAATAAAAAGCAAAGATTTTCGAAAAGTAAAAAAAGAATGATGCTCCGGGACGTCGTCTTCTCAATTAAACTCCGCGCAAACGGCTCAAACGCATTCAGATGTGAGAAGACGTCGTCGTAGTCGGCCGGCGCGAAAATTAAATTGTTTTGTCGTCGTGGAAGATGCAAAGAGAAGAAAAGGGAGAGTCCATCTCAAAACTTTTCCCCCCGAAATTCGTAGGAAGTGAGTTTCAATGATTTATTCCGAAAATTTTTCTGCGGGTGGTGGTGAGTATTCTCTAATCGGAAGAAAACATAAAGAAGAAAGGGGAAGAACTCGTGAAATTCAGAGAAAAAGAAGAAGAAAAAAGAAGAATAATGCCTACCAATTTTTAGTTGTTCTGTGATGTTGCTCATCGCACCTAAAAACTTATATACACAAAAAAGAAAGTCAGATGTGAATACAGAAAAGCTAGACATAGGACGAATAAAATGTGTTGCTAGAAATGATTTTATATACAACAGGAAGGCGTCGAAGGGTTTTTTGGGCACCGGAGAGAGAGCGGGAAACAGGAAAGAAGAGGCCAAAGAGAGATATTCACAACTTTTACAAAAAGAATAATAAATACAAAACGGAGCGGTGTTATCAAGACTGAGCAGGACGATTTCCCTGTCCAGGTACATGATGAGACCAATCGGCGACCTGCGGACCCATTGTCAGATTACGACGCGATGAAGTACTGTAGATAGGCAGGACCTCACTGGCTTCAACTGGCACAGCCTGCAAAAATCGATTTCAAAATCTGAAAATCGGGAAAAAAGCCTTACCTTCAAATAAATACAAGCATCAGTTCCGTGTCCTTCCATGGAAACCAAGAATAGGTCACCAAGGAAGTATCGAGCGTAGAGACGGGAGAGTGGGAGTCCGTAGCCGTATCCGGCCTGTAATGGAATATTCATATTCCCGATATGAGAGGGGGTCTAGAATTTTGAAATTTTCGTTCAGGAAAATAAGTTTTTTTAGTTGTAACCTAGTTAGATCCATTTCTGAAAGTTAGATTTTTTTCTCGAATTACCAATAATTTTCTAAATTTAAATTTTAAAAAACCATACCAATGGCGCCTGGGTTCCATCCCTTGGTGGCGGTGGAGCTGTTGAGTACATGTAGTTGTAGAGACGCTCCAGAATCGTTCTTGACACGCCACCTCCACGATCACAGATCTAAAAATTGGGCCAGTATGGATAGATTACTGAGCTGATGATTTTTCAATAAAATCTGTAGAAAGTATATAAATTCAAGATAAAAACATGGAAAAGTTTTAAAAAATTGGCAGAGTTTCGAAAAATCGTTCTCGTCCATTTCTGGATACTTATGCAATGTTCTCTAATATTTTTGAACTCCCGCCAAAACTGAAATTTCGAAAAAAAAAATAATAAAATTTCTTCGATTTTTGCGAATATTTTCAGACCTTTTTAGGTTTTTCAGCTATTTTTGATAGTTCTTTTTTATTTCTCCAAATTTTTTGTCTGAAATTTGACCGGATGGTGTTCATGTACGCGAGGGTTGCTGTAGATTACTGTAGGAAATCTTCTATTCTGTAGTTTTTTTTGCAAATCCATTCACGTCGAAATGCAGACAAATATTTAATTAAATAGCAAAAAAACTACAAAAGAAATTGGTTTCCTACAGTAATCTACAGTAATCTTCACGAAAACTGTTCTATCTTATTCAGACAAAAAACCGGAAAATCGAGACAGAAGCTTCGAAAATAGCTAGAAAACCTAAAAAGGTCTAAAAATTCTGCAAAATTCAAATAAAAAATAAGTCGCTAGTTTTTCAGAGTTTTCAGTTTCGGCGGGAATCCAGAAGTTTCCAGAAATGGACGAGAAGCGATTATTCGAGTTTTTTGCCAATATTTTTTCAAAATTTTCTTCGTTTCTATATGAATCTACACATCCTGTTCGGCGCGCCTCTGGCGCTTCAAACAGCTGGCTGGTGCGCCTTCAGCGCATGTTTTTTCTCCATTACCTTAATCGACAAATCCTCGTTTCCCTTGACAACATAGACTTTGATATCTGGCAAATCATCATCGACCCCGTGATATTCAACCGTTGCTCTCATGGCATTCTGCAAAAAATTCTTTGGACTGAAACCCCTCTTCCAATAGTTTCACACCCGATTCAATTCCCTTTTTCCGATTCATTTAATTCCTTATCAACCAACTATCTCCTATCTCTCCCTCTTTCTCTTCTTTTAGTATCAAAACTAGACAAAGCACGTGGGTACAATGTGTTCTAAAAAGAGAGATAGTAATCGTCATTGAAAGGCGCACGAGTGTAAGGACGGGCAGAAAACATCCAAAAAGAGACCAAGACCAACCTTAAACAGTTCGAACATCATGTGATACAAATGACTCGGAACTGCGACAATAGATATTGGTTTTCCCTTCTCGACGGCGTTGTGCATCTCTAGTTTCATCGATGGACTTGTCAAGTAGTAACGGTCGCAGAGGAATCTGGAATTTTGAAGATTCAGATGAATTTTAAGCTTTTTTGCAGGTGTTTCCAGGGTTTCAATATCGATTTTGATAGGAACATAGCCAGTTATGATAACTTTTAGCTTGATTTCAGAGTATAACACTTAAAAGTTCCCAACAAAGTTATCATACATTATCTTGGATTTCTAGGCCACCAAAACGAAAACCTACGCCATCACAATAGCATCGGGTCGCTTGATTTTGACATGATGGCCTAGAAACCCAAATAGACCAACTTTAGTACTTCTAGGCCACAATATAAATGGCCTAGAAACTCAAGCAACCTAGCTTTTGAAGATTCTAGGTCATCAGCCAGGATGTGTATGTGATGGCCTAGTTTTTCCGAGTCCTAAGCCAACATTTAGATTTCTAGGCCACCACAACCCGAACGTGGCCCCCATTTTCGGTGGCTTAGAACTCCAAATTGCTCGAATTTCTAGGCCATCTGGATTTCTATCATTTTTGGACTCGAACGACTGGAAATACAAAATGTTGAATTCTAGGTCATCAGCCAGGATGTCTACATGATGGCCTATTTTTTCCAAATTCTAGGCCCTCAGTTGGATTTCTGGGCCATCCCAAAAATTGCTTATGACCACAAATTTCGGTGGCCTAGACCTTCAAATTTCGGCTCCCGGACATTTCGCAACCGGACATTTCGCAGCCGGACATTTCGCAGCCAGACATTTCGCAACCGGACATTTCGCAGCCAGACATTTCGCAGAAGGACATTTCGCAGCCAGACATTTCGCAGCCAGACATTTCGCAACCGGACATTTCGCAGCCAGACATTTCGCAGAAGGACATTTCGCAACCGGACATTTCGCAGCCGGACATTTCGCAGCCGGACATTTCGCAGCCAGACATTTCGCAACCGGACATTTCGCAGCCAGACATTTCGCAGAAGGACATTTCGCAGCCGGACATTTCGCAGCCAGACATTTCGCAGCCTCTGATAACGTCAGAAAATCAGAATCCCAAGTTCTTCGGTTTTGAAAAAAAGTATATTTTAATGTCAGAAATTGAATTTTGGAAGAATTCGGCTGAAAAAAAAATCAAATTTCAGCTGAAAAAATAGCAAGCAAGTATTCAATCAATTGAAAAATGATAAATCTTCATTGTTATTCAGAATTTCTTTTTAAAATATAAGATTTTAGAAAGTTGGAATTCTAGAAGAAAAAAAAAAAGAAATTTTAAAAAATATCATAACAGTGAAGATTTAG